TGCCATGGGTAGAGTTGCCAGATTTAGCAAAAAGCAACAAACAAACCTAAAAACAGGATATCCGGTTAGAGTTGAATTTCAGATAAAAAATCTTTTAATATAAGTATGTCCCATGCAATATTTAGGACATACTTATACTCAAAAAGTATTTTTTGTTTACCTGAAATTCAAGTTTAACTGGGTGTTTTGTATTTTGTCTGGAAACTCTGGTTGAGGGGGATATTCAACCCTCCCAACCCACTCACTCTGCCAATTGACCCCTTCTGCCCCCCAAGCCCCAAGGACAGCAACAGTCCTCAGCTCTGCTTCCCTAACCTGGTGGGGGCTGACTGGGCCAGCAGTGCTTCCAGCCCAGACACAGAGGAGAGCAGAGAGGGTTTGCCAAGCCTGGAACCCCCTCTCCGGAAGGCTGGCGTCTCTGAGGCAGGCCTGGCTCTTGGGCTCCGAGGGTCTGGCTGGGTTTGCCAAATTCCCTGTTTCAGGTCCAGGCAACTGTTGACAGAGCCCCCTGAGCCTGGCTCTTCCCTGGCTCCCCCTGGTGGTCTCTAACACTGCCCCCTTTGCCTTCAGGTAGTCTGGCCCTCTCTGGTGCAGGAGAAAAAGGGGAACCCACTAGAGCCCTTCAGAAAAGAGGAAGGTACAGCTTTCGGGGTGGTTTGAGGGGGAGGAAGGCCCGACCAGGGGCTGAAAATGAGGAACACTGGCTAAGCAGGACCCACCTGGAGAAGGTCATTGCCTCTGCTGGCGCCAGTGGAAAGAGGATCCAGAACAGGCGGGGGTTTCCAGCCTGCGCTTACTCCCTTTCCTGGGAAGGAAGGTTGGGGGGGGCCTCAGGCTAAGAGCAAACACTGCCTCCCTGCTCCAGCAGCAGCCCCACCGGCCAGCCTCTGTTGCTGCCCTAGGGTGATACTGTGCTGGATTTCCTGGGCTGCTCCCTTGCTCTGGGAGGGCCGGAGCACAGCCGCCTGGCACAGGCCTGGGCAGGGACCTGCTGCTCCTAGCCTTCTCCTGGATGCTACGTGGTCTTTGAAACGCTCACACAGCCTGATCCCCAGTGGGAAAGCTTCTTCCTGCCTCTGGCTCCCTTTCCCACCAGTGTGGGTACCTCAGGAGGTGGGGGACCATCCCACAGCAAGCGTGGTTCAGGGTTGTGGGAAGCTCTGCATTTTCCCCAGTGAGACCACAGTCTCCGCCCAGGAAGAGGTTAAGGCTGTCGATTTCTGGCTTGTCTATCCATCTTCAATTTAAGGAGGAGGGGATGTCTGCCACTCAAGGGGTGAGTGGGGTGGGCTTGGGTGTGGGTGGGGGTGAGAGAAGCAGGGCCTAGGAAGGGTGTGGCTGCCGCGGGGTCCTAAGGGGCGGGGCAGAACTTGAGGTCCACCACTCCTGGGAACCCTTTGTGAGCCCATCACGGGGTGTCGCCTCTTCCCCCAGCAACAGTGACTCACAAAGCCAGCCGGCACTCACAAAGCACAGGCGGATGCCTCCTCCCCTGGGCCCTGGAAGGCCCAGGTCACAAAGGCCCTCAGGGCCAAGCCCTGAGGAGGCATGTCCCAAGAGAGCCCTGTGCACGCTCACCCCTGCAGCCGCCCTCCGGGCCGGGCCTGGGCCTCCCGCTTGCACCGAGCGCCCGGTAGCCTCGACGCCCATGTGTGTCGTTTGCTTCGTGAAGGCACTGGTGCACGTGTTCAAGATCTACCTGACCGCCAACTACACCTATAACTTCCGTAGCTGGCCGGTAGACTTCCGCTGGGATGACGTGCGGGCCGCAGCCGTAGGTGGCAGCGGTCACCGCGCGCTGACGTGCGCGGCGGCTGCGGCCGGCGTATGGCTGCTGCGGGGCGCGGCGCTGGGCGGGGACGCGCCGGGGCGGCCGCCGCGCGGTGCGCGCAGCCAGGCGCAGTGCCTCCTGCAGCAGATCCGCGAGCTGCCCGGCCAGCTCGCCAGCTACGCGCTGGCCCACTCACTGGGCCGCTGGCTCCTGTACCCTGGCTCCATGTTCCTGATGACGCGCGCACTGCTGCCGCTGCTGCAGCAGGGCCAAGAGCGCCTCGTGGAGCGCTACCGCGGCCGGCGTGCCAAGCTGGTGGCCTGTGACGGCAACGAGATCGACACCATGTTCATGGATCGCCGCCAACACCCGGGCAGCCACGGCCATGGCCTGCGCCTCGTCATCTGCTGCGAAGGCAACGCCGGCTTCTACGAGATGGGTTGCCTGTCTGCGCCGCTGGAGGCCGGCTACTCCGTGCTGGGCTGGAACCACCCGGGCTTCGGGGGCAGCACGGGCGCGCCGTTCCCTCAGCACGATGCCAACGCCATGGACGTGGTGATCAAGTACGCGCTGCACCGCCTGCGCTTCTCACCTGCACATGTGGTGGTCTATGGCTGGTCCATCGGAGGCTTCACGGCCACCTGGGCCACCATGACATACCCAGAGCTGGGTGCGCTGGTGCTTGACGCCACCTTCGATGACCTCGTGCCGCTGGCCCTGAAGGTCATGCCCCACAGCTGGAAGGGGCTGGTGGTGCGCACCGTGCGCGAGCACTTCAACCTCAATGTGGCCGAGCAGCTGTGCCGCTACCCTGGGCCGGTGCTGCTGCTCCGACGCACGCAGGACGACGTGGTCAGCACCTCGGGCCACCTGCGCCCCCTGCCGTCCGGCGACGTGGAGGGCAACCGCGGCAACGAGTTGCTCCTGCGCCTGCTGCAGCACCGCTACCCCAGCGTGATGGTGCGCGAGGGTCTCGCCGTCGTGACCCGCTGGCTGCGCGTCGGCAGCCTGGCACAGGAGGCCGCCTTCTACGCGCGCTACCGCGTGGATGATGAATGGTGCCTGGCTCTGCTGCGCTCCTACCGCGCGCGCTGCGAGGACGAGCAGGAGGACGAGGAGGCCTGGGGGCCCCACGGCCTCCCCTTCCCCTGGCTAGCGGGTCAGGGCCTGAGCCCGCGGAGGCGCCGGCAGCTCGCGCTGTTCCTGGCGCGCAAACACCTCAAGAACGTGGAGGCGACTCATTGCAGTCCGCTGGAACCAGAGGACTTCCAGTTGCCCTGGAGGCTGTAGCCTGTGCGTGTTCACACATTCGTGCACCTTCAGGGCCTCTCCCCACTCCCCAAACCTGTAAAGCTGGCCCACCTGGGGATCCCGACGTGGTGTCTGGGGGAGAGTGGGGCAGTACATAAGGACCTGGTGCTCTCCTTCACTGGGGCATTCCCTCCTCCTTTCTTTCTCTTCCTCTCTCAAACACTGTGGATGTCCCAGTCTGCTATCAGCTCCTAAAAGGGAATGCAAAGATTAACCGAACCCAGTTTGTGGCAACGCTGTGTGATGGGCGCCTTGATCCCCTCCAAAGGATGGTGGGAACAGGGGTTGTGGGACCCCAGGAGGTGTTCTACACCTAGCCTAGGTTGCAGGATGGCTCTGGGAAAGATGTGTTGAAGGGTCTACACAAGTTACCCCAGGCTGTGAAAGCACATTGGCGTTGGAGGGCTGTAAAGCAAGTTTAGCAGCTGGGCCTTCCCAGGACTGTGATGCTGCTGCTCCATCGGGTCCCCTTCCCACCTCCACACTCCTGGCTTCTACAGGAGGGGGTTCACTGTGGGACCACGACTCAGAGTGGCAGGTATACAGTATACACAGTGGCATGTCCATGTGGGGCCACAGACACACCGGAACCGGCCACTCATTGCTGGGGGTCCCCTTCAGCCAGGCTTGGGCTGGACTTTGTTCCTGGCTCAGGGATGCAACACAGAATAAGACAAGCCCTCTGCTCACCACCATCTGTAATGCAGTCGCTTCCTTACCATCTGCCATGAACTGCATGAAGCAAGGACTACTGGCTGTCCCCAGCCCCTGGGGACAGGGGCTGTCTAGGGTGGGTTGAGCAAGAAGCTCTGGAAAAACTGAAAGAAGGCAAGTGGGGCAGACAAAAAATTGACAGCATCAGAGCAGGACATGGCCATGATGCACCTGGGCCAATGTGAGCAGAAGTAGGTATCTAAGGTGACCTAAAGTACCAGGAAGATGCCTGTGGCGAGGAGGTGAGTTTGAGCTGAGACCTTAAGAGGAGTTAGCCAGGTGAAGGAAGGGGTTTCCATGCATAGGGTAATGGCTTGGCTGGAGGCAGGGAGTGCAGTCCAGAAGGCTCAGACCCTAAAGGATGTGAATACCATTTAAGGATTTGCTTCCAGGGACAATTAGGAGCCAAAGAAGGAAAGTTGTGGGACTTGTTTTAGCGGGACCGGGTTGCCTAGTGGTTACACACCTCTCCTTTGGGAAGTCCGGCAAACTTGTACCAGAGTCTGCTGGAAGCCCCTCACTTGGCTGAGTGACCTTGGGCAAGCTACTCTAACCTCAGTTTTCTCCTCTGTAAAGCGGGGAGGGCTCCACCTGGCGCCCGGGGTTGCTGTGAAAAGGAAGTGAGAGAACTGGGTGTCCGCGCGCGGACAGAGACACCCCAGCCAGGTGAGCGCGGCGGCACCCGCAGGGCAAGAGGACAAGTCGCGGTCACGCCTTCTTCCGCGCGACCCCCATACAATACAAAAAATCATAAAAAGGAAGGACTAAAAAAACAAACAAAAAGACTGGGGGAGAGGCTAACCCCAAAGTCAGCGAGTAGGGCCACGGAGGAGTCGCAGGCGCTCTGAGTCTGACCCGCCAAGTTGCGTGAGCTGCGGCGCTCGTACGCAGCGGCAAACACCCCGGAGACCTCCCAGGGGCCCAGCACCGGGTTTCCACAGCGCCATGTTGGACGGTCCTCCCACTTCCCATCTTCCCAGTGCTCCTCCGGACCGTTCTATCTGTGCATCTCGCTGGTGGCGCCGACCTGGGAGGGATTCTCTCAGAACCCTGCCTCCCTTCTCTGCCTTGTCTGCAGCTTCGGCCAATCAGGTTGGAGTGGGTGAACGGGGACGGGCCAAACAATGCCCTCATTGGACGCCGCTCGCGGGGGCGGGACGAAGACGGAGCGCGGGTCAAAGCGGAAGTGGGCCGTCGCGTCGCTGATTACGTAATACCGCGGCGGCTGAGGCTGTCCCGCTGGCTGGTGCGTACGGGGCACGAGACTCCCGCTGCGGCGAGCTCGGCCCCCCCCGAGCCCGCGACCCCCGGCCTTCCCCCAGCTGCAGCCCGGCCGCCGCCTGATCATGGACTCGGCCGGCCAAGGTACCCGCGCTCCGCCTCTCCCTGGGGTCGCGTCTCGGCCTCTGGTTTCCTCTGCCCCGCGGCCCTCCCTCAGCTGCCCGGCCCCGGCCTCGAAGCTCCCGATGCTTGTGGCTCGCGTCTCCCGCCCCCGGCTGGACCGTTCCGAGGACAGGTTCCCGGAGTTGTGGGTTCCTCACGCCAGGCAGCTCTCGTGATGCTCCGCCCGGCGCCTGCGGGGCTGGCCGCCCTCTGTCCCTGCGCAGGGCCCTCGGGGACGCTCCGTCGGGCCCTGGACCCGGGCGAGGCTCCGAGGTGTTGTGCACGGCTCCCGGGGGAAGGGGAGGTGAAGGCGTCCTCCCGTTGAGCGCAGCGCCCCGCGGGTGGCAACGCTGCTCGGAGCCTAGCCTACTTAGGGGTTGTCTCGAGGGGGAAGGGTGCGGTGAGTCAAGGGCACACCCAACACACAGGCCTGTTTCCTGAACTGACACCCCATGCCGGTTTGAGATGGCCGCTGGGGGTGTGGAGCGGGCCCAGGAGAGTAAAATCTTGAGAATGTGGTACAAGTGTTTTCCATTCTGGGGCTCCAGAGAGGGGATGCAGAATTCCCATGTTGACATAATTACACTGGATACTTTCAGGATGCGTTTCTACCGTTTGACTCGTGCCAGCTTATTAACTGAACATTAGAGTAACTGGGTTTTGATGCATTCTGTCTGTAGGTTTTTCTGCTTTTGACATCTACTTACGAAATAATTGAACATCAAAGGGACCTGCCCTGTGGCGTAGCGGTTGAGTGTGCGCGCTCCGCTTCGGCGGCCTGGGGTTCGTGGGTTCGGATCCCGGGCGCGGACCGACGCACCACTTGTCAGGCCATGCTGTGGCCGCATCCCACATATGAAGGAGAGGAAGATGGGCACAGATGTTAGCCCAGGGCCAATCTACCTCAGCAAAAAGAGAAGGATTGGCATCAGATGTTAGCTCAGGGCTAATCTTAACACACACACAAAATAATAATAATGGAGCATCAAAAGCCCTGGGCTGATAAGTTCAGGAAGCTTTTCACTGTTGACTTGCATCTCTGCTTTAGTTAGACATAGCAAGCACTGGACTCTGGTTGTGAGAATGGCAGGAAATGTTCACTGAGCCCTTACTGTGCATCAGACACCATGCTAAGCCTGTTGCTCAAGAGATCTTTTTCTGTTTTCAGAATAGCCCTTTGAGGTTGGTCCTTGTGTTAGCCCAGTTTTGCGGATGATTATACAGGCTTAAGAGAGCTAGGACTCGCCCAGGGGGAAGGACTCTAGCCCCCTGGTTTTGCCTAGGGCACCAGCCCCACGTGTAGTCTGTGTAGGTCTTTTGGCAAGACACTTTCCTGCCTCTGTCTTCTCTGAATCAGGAGACTTCAGGGTGTGAGTAGCATCTCCCTGCTGGGTTGCTGAGGCTGGTGTCACGCAGAGTGATTGTGCAGTGTCCGGCGTGTTTGGTAAGTGCCCAGTGTCTTTCTGGGGGTGATTTCCATGGGATCCGATTTTAGCTTTATAGGCAGAAACTGTGCCATGGCCTTTGTTTATGTTTTTTGTTTTTTGTTTTTTGTGAGGAAGATTGGCCCTGAGCTAACATTCATGCCAATCCTCCTCTTTTTGCAGAGGAAGACCGGCTCTGAGCTAAAATCTATTGCCAATCCTCCTCCTTTATTTTGTTCCCTTTTTCTCCCCAAAGCCCCAGTAGATAATTGTATGTCGTAGTTGCACATCCTGCTAGTTGCTGTATGTGGGACACCGCCTCAGCGTGGCCGGACAAGTGGTGTGTCAGTGGGTGACCGGGATCCAAACCCGGGCCGCCAGTAGCGGAGCGCGCGCACTTAACCGCTAAGCCACAGGGCCGGCCCCTGTTTATGTTTTAAAAATGGAAAAGAAAAATTGTGGAGATTTTAAAGCATTTAGTAAATTTGAGAGGTTCAACGTAGTGCATACAAATGATGAAGTAAAATATGTATGTTGATCTCAATTAAAAATCAGAATCAGTTGATAAAAAAAGTGGACATGCTTCATTTAATAAACATCCATTGAGTGTCAGGAAAGTGGACACTCCAGCTGTGTGGACATGTGATGGGATGCGCCAGCTAAGTAGAGCATCTTTGCTTTTAAGTGCATCCAATCTATTTTTAGCAGACTCTAGGATTTCTACAGTAGACAAACGTATCTGCAATGAAAGACATCTTTACCTCTTTCCAACCTTTATGCCTTTTATTTTAATTTACTTTTAAGGGGGGTGAGGAAGATTGGCCCTGGCCTGACATCTGTGCCCATCTTCCTCTACCTTCTATGTGGGACGTTGCCACAGCATGACTTGATAAGCGGTACGTAGGTCCCTGCCTGGGATCCGAACCCGTGAACCCCGGGCAGCTGAAGTGGAGTGTGCAAACTTAACTACTACACTACTGGGCCAGCCCCTTAATTTACTTTTAAAATGTGCCAGATACCATACAAAGCCTGTTTCTTCACAGAATGTGCTGATGAAAAGGGAAGATGTTTTCAGTGCTGATTGTATACAAGTACTATGTGGCAGTCGTGTGGTTGGAGTTGCAAAGAACTGAAGTAATCCATTTTTCCTTGTGTGGTATTTTGTAAGCTTTTAGTGCAGAGAGGAAGATGCATTTAATGCAAAGAAAGAAGAGTGACCGCAGGAATTTGAACCTGATCTAGGTGTAGCAGAGGTGGGTGGAGGTGGTGTTCCCTCTGGGCCTCACTGCATGCTGCGGCCCCCTTGCTGTGGGATGAGGGTGAGGATGGAGTAAAGAGGATTTTTGTTTTGCTGACTCCTTGCAGCAGCTGAATGACTAACCCATGCTCCTTGTGTGTAATTTTAGCGTCAGATCACTTGATTGGAAAATGGTGCTTGTTGTGTTTATAGCTGTATTAAGTTCTTTTGCTCTAAAAAATGGAGGATCCATTAGATTGGGCTGCATTGTTTGTAGCAAAGGTTTCCTGTCTCAGAAGATAGTATTCTCACAGGGGGAACCAGAGTTAGGGTATGGCTACTTTGCGCCAGGATCTTGGGTGGCCTGAGATGTGGCTGCCCTCAGTCTGATGGCCCAAACCATCTTTGCAGAACCTTTCAGAGGAGAGGCATTGTTAGTCTCCACCCGCCTCTCCCCCTGCAACCTGTCCTTTCACCCTTGCTTTCTCCCTTGGTGGAGACCTTTGTCCTATTTACTTCTCTGTAACTTCTTACTTGACACTTTTTGACCTCATTTTGTCTCTGGCAGATATCAGCCTGAATTCTCCTAACAAAGGTCTGCTGTCTGATTCCATGACGGATGTCCCTGTCGACATAGCGGTGGCTGCCCAGACTCCTGCTGTGGAGGGTCTGTCGGAGGCTGAGGAGGAGGAGCTCAGGGCTGAGCTTGCAAAGGTGCTGTATCTTGGCTGTCTGTCCTGGGTGACCCTGAGTTGAGACCCTCTCAGGGTGGTGAGGGGCCAGAATGCTGGCCCTGCTCTGGGGAACTCCACCTGGAGGTCGTCCCTGGAGCCCCACAGAAACTGCTCCTTGCTGCCCTCGCTTTGTGTGTACCTGGATCTTGTCGGTGTCCACAAGGAGAACGTCCACACAGGGATGGTGCTCTGAGCACGCCATCTGCTGGGAGTCTCTCTGTGGGAATTAACACTTGACATTTTCAAGACCCCACCAATCTATCTGCCCCTGGATCTTAATTTTTCTTTTAAAAATACTTGTTTTGTAAAAAGTGCTTTGTGTGATCTTTTTTAAGTAGGAGTCCCTTAAGAGGAAATAGGAGTTAAGAACAAAAGCCTCCAAGTATAATTTTTTTGTGTGTGTGAGGAAGATCAGCCCTGAGCTAACATCTGCCAATCCTCCTCTTTTTGCTGAGGAAGACTGGCCCTTGGCTAACGTCTGTGCCCATCTTCCTCCACTTTATATGGGACGCCGCCACAGCATGGGTTGACAAGCGGTGCGTCGGTGCGCGCCCGGGATCCGAACCAGCAAACCCCGGGCCGCCGCAGCGGAGTGGGCTCGCTTAACCACTTGTGCCACCGGGCCGGCCCCCCAAGTGTAATTTTTATTCACACCAACTGCCAAGGGTGTTTCTTTTTACCGTGTGATGTAGAGTCTAATAGTGACTCACCTGAGATTCCAGAATCTGATGAAATGAACTTGTTAATATCTGACCATAGCGTCCAGTCAGGCAGAGGCTGGAGCACTGCTTGTCCCAGGCCTCCACTCTTGCGTCAGAGATGAGCCGGTTTTGATACGTCCTGGGTCTAGTCCTAGGGCGGAACAGAGGTAGTTGTGCAGATGAACCGCAGCCCCAGGACCGGGTTTTAGATTACAGGGGAAGCATGCAGCTATTTCTGAATGGAACAGAGTTTACTGGAGAAGCAGCAAGATTCCAAGAAGACTTAGGCTTTGCATTTTATTTACGAATATGTTGGTTTAGAGACTAAAACCACAAGGTCTTTTTCAGGGTTGAATTGCAAAGTGAAGAAGTTCTGTCACTTAAAATTTTCAACTTGCATGTCCCCCAAGACAACTATATTACATGCCCTTAAGCCCTGTCAGTCATTGCACCATAGATGGAATGTTCTAGTCACTGGTTGTAACTGCTGGAGTGGTAATAGTTGGGCTTTAGATGATCCTATGTTTTTTAATTATTTCTTGTTTCAACTATTTTCTGAAGTAGAATCTAGCGATACGCAGGGCTCTAAGCTGTTCTTTTAGTTCCTTAATCCAAACAATCACCTTTTTAAGAAAGGGATTTATTTTATTGATGTCATAATAGTTTATAACATTGTGAGATTCCAGTTGTACATTGTTATTTGTCAGTCAGCATATAAATGCGCCCCTTCACCCCTTGTGCCCACCCCCCAACTCCCTTCCCCCGGTAACCACCCAACTGTTCTCTCTGTCCGTGTGTTAGTTTATCTTCCACATATGAGAGAGGTCATACAGGGCATGTCTTTCTCTGTCTGGCTTATTTCACTTAACGTAATACCCTCCAGGTCCATCCATGTTTTTGCAAATGGGATGATTTTGTCTTTTTTTATGGCTGAGCAGTATTCCACTGTATATATATACCACATCTTCTTTATCTAATCATCTGTTGATGGACGCTTGGGTTGCTTCCACTTCTTGGCTATAGTGAATAATGCTGCAATGAACATAGGGGTGCATAGCCTTTTGGATTGTTGATTTCAAGTTCTTTGGATAAATACCCAGAAGTGGGATAGCTGGATCATAAGGTATTTCTATTTTTAATTTTTTGAGGAATCTCCATACTATTTTCCATAGAGGCTGCACCAGTTTGCATTCCCAACAGCAGTGAATGAAGGTTCCCTTTTCTCCACAACCTCTCCAACATTTGTTATTTTTTGTCTTGGTGATTATAGCCATTCTCACGGGTGTAAGGTGATATCTTAGTGTAGATTTGACTTGCATTTCCCTGATGATTAGTGATGTTGAACATCTTTTCATATGCCTATTGGCCATCTGTATATCTTCCTTGGAAAAATGTCTGTTCATATCCTTTGCCCATTTTTTGATCGGGTTATTTGTTTTTTGTTGTTGAGCGTGTGAGTTCTTTTTTTGTGTGTGTGAGGAAGATCAGCCCTGAGCTAACATCCTTGCTAATCCTCCTCTTTTTGCTGAGGAAGACTGGCTCTGAGCTAACATCTATTGCCAATCCTCCTCCTTTTTTTTTTCCCCCAAAGCCCCAGTAGATAGTTGTATGTCATAGCTGCACATCCTTCTAGTTGCTGTATGTGGGACGCGGCCTCAGCATGGCCGGAGAAGCGGTGCGTCGGTGTGCGCCCGGGATCCAAACCCGGGCCGCCAGTAGCCGAGCGCGCGCACTTAACTGCTAAGCCACGGGGCCGGCCCTGTGTGAGTTCTTTATATATTATGGAGATTAACCCCTTGTCGGATATATGATTTGCAAATATTTTCTCGCAGCCTGTGGGTTGTCAGAAAGGGATTTTTTTTAGAATAGCTGTTCACATAGGAGCTGAAAATATTGAGAACTCCAAAATAGTAAGGCTCTAAAGGATGCTCCTTTCTAAAGTCACATTCTTTTTTTTCAAACCTGAGAAGATTCAGGTCTTTATTGTCAGGATTCTTTCTGTTACCCAACTCAGACTACCTTAAGCACAAAAGATAATTTATTTTTGGCTTGTGTAGCTGGCTTTTGCCAAGGCCTGGAGCTGACCTCAGGAACATGAATGTTGTTATAAGGGCTGTTTCTCTGTCACCTGGGTCTCTGGCCATCCTTCTGTCTGTCAGCTCTGCTTCCTTCCCACTACATATGGAATTCCCTCACAGTGCAGAGGGGGCCTGGCTGCCAGCAGTTCCAGCTTCTGTTTTCCAAGCCCAGACCCAGAGCTCAGAGGGAAAGGGACTTCTCTCTTCCATCACCTGTGCCCAGTCCCAGGGAAGAGCTCTGACAGGCCTTGCTTAGTCATCCACGGGTAGGTGCAGTGATTGGTAGCCCCACCAGAATCACTTGGCTTGGGGCGATGGGATGACAGCTCTCCAGAAGACGTTGGGGTGCTAGTACCAGATAAAAACAGAACAGATGTTTGCCATAGACTCTTTTCCTAAGACGAGTTATGTTTCCGTAAGCAGAAAGTCCTTACATAATTCTGAGAAACCTCCCATTGCAGTGTATATGAGAATGTTAGTCACTTCCTGCAATAGTGGTAACTGATCATGTCAACTGCATGCTTTTGCAGGTGGAAGAGGAAATTGTCACTCTGCGCCAGGTCCTGGCAGCGAAGGAGAGACACTGTGGAGAGCTGAAAAGGAAGCTGGGCCTCTCTGCCTTGGAGGGCTTGAAGCAGAACCTGTCCAAGAGCTGGCATGATGTGCAGGTCTCTAACGCGTAGGTACCTGCTCTCTGGCAGGGACGCCCTGGACGGTTGGAGAGAGTGTTCACCATGGTGGTGCCTCTGCCTTGTTGATGGACTGTTGAGTTCTTGGGGTGAGGCGCCTCACAGGAACAAGGAGATTGAGTGTGCTTGTGTGGAAGCAGCCAGCCAGGGTCCCTGTGTACTAGCAGCCGTTCTTGTATTTATTCAAAGAGCTTAGAGTCTTGTGGGTGGACACATTAGCTAGTTGTCCAAGCAGAAATGGATGAGAAAAGTATGCTTCAGGGTCCAAATTTGAGAGAACACTTACTAGGTCCTAATGAGACTGACTTTCCTGTCGTCCCCAGGGCTCAGTGTCTGCTGAAGTAGACATGAGTCCTTCTCATGAGTGTGATGTAGTCACAACCCCAGCACCTCTGACTCAGACATGACTCAGCTCTCTTGAGTTTGGGGAGTGTGGCTACAAGGCTCCCCAATGGGGGAGGGATGGGAAACGTTTCCCACTGTCTAAGAATCTTTGTCCCTGCAGAAAGACAGATTGAATTGAATTTCATAAATTTCACCTATGAAAAGCCTATTTCTCTGTCCTAGGAAATCATAGGTTTTGAATCCCAAAGGGTGACTGTCGGAGAAGTGTTTTGGGGCCATGGGCTGTGCCTTCTTTGCTCTTCACAGCAGTGCTGTCCCCAAGAGCCATCTTACATTGAGTGACCATGCCTTCCTTGGCATGATGGGTAAAGGACTTGTCAGTTCTGCAGCGCCTCGCGTGGCCTCGCCTGGGCCTGCACAGCAGGTGCTGAGTAGGAGCTGAGGACCTTATTCTCATGCTGGAGATCCAGTATTCCTGCCAGCCAGTCCTCTGTTTTCCGTGAGATTTCATCTGCAGTTTGAAACCTGAGTTGAAATAGTTTTTCTAAATAATTTACCACAGACTTTCTGTTTTTAGCTATGTGAAAACTTCTGAGAAACTTGGAGAGTGGAATGAGAAAGTGACCCAGTCGGACCTGTGAGTGCCTTCGCCATCAGCACCTCCCTCCTCTTCTCCTTCCCCTGACACTCCTTTTAGGGACGCAGAGGCTGTGTGCACTTGGCACAAGCGTAGTTTTGGTGTTTCTTGGCAATTTTATTTTTAATATAATTTTTCTTTTCTCAAACACAAATGAAACTGTCCTTTAAACTCTTATGGAGCAGGGTGTGGTCGCTGAAGGAAATTCACTCAGCCGCCAGACCACACTGAAAACTTCCCTCTGCCTGACATGCATCCCTTAGATAGAAGGCCTGAGCTGGGCTCGGGCAGCCTGGCTCTGGCCAGTAGACACTCCTTGGCTTTCAGAGTAGACACCGTGGTTGAGTGCCATCTGGACTGACGTTGGTGATTTTTGGTTTGGTTTTTTGCCTCCTTCCTTCCCCTGCAGACCTAGCTCCAGCTGGTGGGTTCTCAGAGCTTCACTCATACGTAAGCAGTGGTTATCGAGTGGGGGGCACGGTGTAGGCTATGCCAGCAGGATCTTGAAGGAGTCCCTTTGGTCTGACAGGCACCGAGCTGTCAGCCACACAGAAGGTTGGCAGAGCATGAGATGCTCGTGGATGGCTTTTCGCGTCTGTCGGAGTCATAGTTCAGGATGACTCCTGCTGTTGTATTTGAGATCCTTAAGCGAGATAACAGCACCTCATTTATCTGTGCTCCAGTCCGATTATAATTGCTTTGAACTGGGTGGGGCAATATTTAAAAATGGTCACTTCCTGGGATTTTTCTGTCTCTTGTTTAGAGGGAAGTGCTGTCATGGTTGCCAGAGAACATGGGCAGAAAGTCCTTCCGTGTCAGGCTGAAAGGAGCTTGTCTTTAAGGTGCCTGGGACCCCAGGTTGGCTGGCTGTGTGCATGGTGCCATTGCAGCCTGGTGTCACAAGGGGAGCTGGTGCCGGGGCTCTGGTGCATGTTTCACTGTGTTTGTGTGGTTTGGTGTGACAACCACTTGTTGCTGTAGGCGTTCTAGGAGCACTGGTGTGCTGTGTCCTCAGGGCTGTGTTAGACGGTGCCTTACCAAGGAGCAGGTGTGAAGTTGAGACAGTGCCGTCATTTGTGCAGTTTGGGCACAGGCAGGCTCATGGTGCAGACTTCATCTGAAAATAGCTTTGGGAGTGCACTCTACCCCCAGCCGTCACCGCCCGCGCTCAGCCTCCCCTCGGCCCCTGCACTGCATCTGCCCCAGTTTGGAGGTTCCTGTTTCTGAAGGAGTCACTTTTGACGCCTCATCTGAAAATAGCTGTTCTGTAAAGCCAACTGACATAGAGCTGCTGGGATACCGTTTCAAGTAATTGCAGCTGTGACTCCTCTGAAAGAAACCTGTGGCTCTGAGCCTGGAATTCTGTGGCTGACAGGATGGTCCTTTCCAAGCGCTGCACCAGGCCGTGGCTGTTCCCCTGCAGTCTCACCCACAATTCCGTTGGTGGAAGAGTTGTCAAAGTGATGCTTCCAGGGCTGGAGGCATTGCTGCAGTGACAGCCCAGGAGGAGGGGGCTAACATGGCTCAGGAGATGGGGTAGCTGAGAACATGGGCTGCTCTGTGCTCTCTGGGGTGAAGGAGTGCTGGGGGCCTGGGCGGTGCCTCCCTGGCTGTCGCTGGGGGAGACTGGTGGCCGGGTTCCACTGCCCAGAGCACTGGGAGGGGGAGGTGCAGCAGGAGTGCACTCTACCCCCAGCCGTCACCGCCCGTGCTCGGCCTGCCTTCGGCCCCTGCACTGCATCTGCCCCGGTTTGGAGGTTCCTGTTTCTGAAGGAGTCACTTTTGACGCCTCGTTTCCACACCCCAGAAACGCTGAGGGCTGTGGTGTGTGGGGAAATGGCCTCGTTGGTCTTCAGCGGTGGTGCTGCCCCATGAAGTCGCCCACAGGCGAGCTCCTCTCCTGTCGGTGGCTCAGAGCCTAGGCCCCTCTGAGTCACCCTCGGGGCTCTCCTCCTTGTCCCCAAGGACTCAACAGCACAGGTGCACGTTCGCTCCGACTGGAGGTTCCCAAACTTGGCCCTGTGGGCACAAATAGAGATTCTGTAGGGATTTTTCTTTAAATCTTCTGCTTCAGACTGTTTTTTACTTCAGCAAACCCCAGAATGGTAACATGATCTTATGTATTTGTTATTTCAGGGAAAACTGAGCTTGGAGACGTGTTCTGAGTTTGTATTTCTGAAATTCAGTGTTGCATGTCATTAGTCGCTTGTACCTGGTGTTTTACAGATAGCGACTGTGGCTCCAGGTGCACAGAGGTCTGTTTCTTGGAGATAATCTTATTTAACTTACTTTGAAATGAAGGCAATTTATTAGGCCAGGCCTTGGATTGGGGGAGGCTCTACCAGGCACTCCAGGTTGGGGGCCCCGGAAGAGGTTCCAGAGCCTTTCCTCAGCAGGCAGTGTTGTGGGGGATGTGCTGTCACACCAGCCACAGGTGCCCTGGCACCTTTATTTCCACAGTCTTGCTAGAGCCTGAGACAGACTGTGGTGTGGGTGGCAGCCCGGGGGAAGGCGCTGTCAGGTGAGAGGGTGCCTGGGGAGTTACCCAGAGTCCGTGTGGGACCCTCCTGGAAAGAGTGTGTAGACTCTGGGTTTCAGGGCCAGTCAGCATGGCCTAGGACTGACCTGCCCCTCTGCTCAGGTGATCCTGTCTAGCTTCCGGCCACGCAGCTCTCTGGGTTTCTGTACAGGTGGTCAGATTTTGTTTCAGTTCCTGTTTGTTTCAGTTCCATGGTAGTTTCAGACTGTCACAGGGGAGGGGATTTCAGGTAGTCAAATTTGTCTAAAGCCTGGATTCAGAATTAGACTTCTTTTTAGTTATTGATTTCAGGAAATGCAGAAGCCAATTTTTCAGCAAAGATTTTAGAAACTATTTTCTTCCCATTATTACAGTATGTTCCAGAATTTACTGGCCTTCCTGGAAACAGATAAATTCAATGTTCTAGTGACTTCTGGGTGTTTCCAAACTCTGTTGCTGAGAAGCAGCACGTGTTTTGAGTCTTGGGCCCTACTGGACACCAGAGAAACCCAAGGCCCTGCTGTGCTGTGAGTGGGCCTCTGCCAAGAGGAGGGAGGCCCCTCCAGGGTGCTCAGGGCTGGGCAGTCCCCGAAGGACAGGGAGAGCAGGGGGTCACAGCAGAAACTGACCCCGCGTGGACAGGCTGGAGTGGTCAGGAGACTGGCCTGAGGGAGGAGGGCAGCAGGTGATCACACAGGGCCTCCTGCACGTGGCAGTGGGGAACGAATGGGAGGGAAGGGCTCAGAGGACCTACTGCTGGTACCATGTGACCTGGCCCACTGTGACCTGCTGATGTCAGCAGGGCGAGAGTAGGTTGGCATCTCAGGAGCCCTGCCATCTCAAGCCTTTATTTCCTCAAGGTGGCCAGGTTGACCAGACAGGAGCTCTTGGGTTCAGGATGCTGTGTCTTTTTTTGTAGTACAGTTGGACGAGGGTTGGCAGCTCTAGGTATTAGTTCTCAGGGTGGGCCCAAGGGTGTCCTTGCTGTCCTGTGGCCAAGGCACCCTATCTCTGCCCACCCTTTGCCTGTCCCGCTGACATTGAGGTCATGGAGCCATGTCTCCTGTGGTGCACCCATGTGTGGGTGGATGAGGCGGGAGGGCATGGAAAAGGCAGTCTTTGCTGTGAGCCAAGACCACCCCCTTGCAGTGAGACCCGTGGTGTGAGATGGGGGTCTCCCCGGTTCTGAAAGGACGTTGTGGAGACAGTGCGGGAGAGTGGAGGGCTGGAGGGTCTCCTCAGAGTCTGTGAAGGCCAGCATGCCACAGGCGGCATGTCCCACTGTCAGGTGCATCTCCCGTGGGTGTGGCTGGGCTGTGTTTTCTCCCCTCAGAGGACGGTCTTACATGAGGAGAGAGAGAAGCTTCCTGAGTGCAGTGACAGGGACCCGAGAGCACTTTCTGGCTTCTGCCCCAGACCCCGGGCCTGTTTTCTCTGCAGCAGGCAGATGCTGCGCTTTCCGAGTAGTCAGTGGCTGGGAGAAGTCGAGGAAAGTGGGATAAGTCAGTTTTGAATGAGGCGGAAGAGAACTTGAATTACACTAAGATCAGAAAACAGTGTCATTGCAGGGTTGGGAGGGCCTGACCTGGCAGTGCTGCTTCTGTCCTTGCTGCAGGTCCCCCTGGGGGCCTCAGAGACTGAATGTGTGTCTCCTCCATGGTGACCAGGCAAGCGCTCACTGACCGCTCTGACTGCTCCTCCCTCCTTTCTCGGGCACTCTCTAGGTGCTCTGTGTCCTTGCTTTGTGAGTGGTGGCTGCCCCTTTTGCTTGGTTGGTTGAAATGGTGTTTCTTCTTCCCAGCTACAAGAAGACTCAGGAAACTCTCTCTCAGGCGGGACAGAAGACTTCAGCTGCCCTGTCCACCATGGGCTCTGCCATCAGCAGGAAGCTAGGAGACATGAGGTGAGACACCCTACTCTGCCCCTGGCCCCCCTGCCCTGAGACCTGGGCCAGTCGGGTGAGGTTTTAGGTGTTTTAGATCTATTAGAGGTTCTGCAGGAAGCCTGCTGGAGCCCCAGGGCTCAGATGCACATACCCTGAGATGTGGCCATGCCAGCCCTGGCCCAGTCGGTTCATGGACTCTCGTTTGCAGGGTGCATCTGCCTCCTCTTGGCTGCCTCTTTGCCATTCCTGTATTTCTCGGGAGGGGTGGTCACTGCTGCCTTAGGGTAGCTTCTGATGCTTGGAATTGTTGAAGGTGGATGCTTGTCGTTGAGGTTTGTTTTTTTTTTTTAAGATTTTTATTTATTTATTTTTTCCCCCCAAAGCCCCAGTAGATAGTTGTATGTCATAGCTGCACATCCTTCTAGTTGCTGTATGTGGGACGCAGCCTCAACATGGCTGGAGAAGCGGTGCGTTGGTGTGCACCCGGGATCGGAACCCGGGCCGCCAGCAGTGGAGCGCGCACACTTAACTGCTAAGCCACGGGGCCAGCCCTGTCATTGAGGTTTCATCGAGAGAAAATGACTCCGGCCTGGGGGTCGGTGTCAGGGTGGGCCATCAGTCTGGGTGGGCCAGCAGGCAGGGCAAGTCTAGGACGAGCTTGTTGTTTCCCTGGGGTGTTTGCCTGGCCCAGATCTCCAAGGGAATGTGTGGTCGCACACCAGGGGCCCCAGCCGAGTGTTCTTCCCTAGAGGCTGACAAGACCCTCTGGCCACGAAAGGTGCCTCTTGCGCAGGACCTAGGGCCGGGGAGCACTGGGGTGGCTCAGGCACTTGGTGGACTGCACACAGTGGTACCCGCCCCAAGCCTGACAGCCACGCCCTCGCCCAGCCAGGCCACTGCTAGCCCTGTGTTGCCTACTCTGGGCTCCATGGCCATGCCTGCTAGGCCACCTCTGCTACACAGCACAGTGCCAAGGGGGTTGGACCTTGGCGCCAAAGGCCATGGTGAATCCTGGCTCGGCGACCTCCTAGCTGTGTCCTTGGCAAGGCCTCCTGCTTGGGGTTGTTAGGATGAAATGCACATCGATGAGTGACAGTGTGGAGTACAGGTCATCACCAATGCCCTGGCCTTAGCCCCCAGGTGCCACTGCCCAACCCTGCCCTGCCCCCTGACCCCTGCTCAGGACGAGTCCCCTTGCTTTTGGATTTCGAGGAGTGCCTCTCTGTAGCCCCCACCCCGTCCTGAGGCTCTTGTCCTCTCGCAGTTGAGAATCACACAGTGGGTGGTGCCTGTGGGCTTGGCATGCTGAGTGCAGTTTTGGGGGTCCACCCAGCTCTGACCCCTCACCTCTTACCTTTGAGTGGGCTCCCTCCCTGCCTGCTTAGGTTAGGCATTTCCCCACCTCACAGGCCTGGTGGTTGCCTTGTGGGACCTCATAGTGGGGGCTCTGCCCTCACCGTTTAGCCAGAAGTGAGGACACACCCCCAGGGACCCACCCAGCTGAGCAGAGGATGGCTTATACCTAGAGCTGTGCTCACTTTTTATTTTGTTTTTTTGACATAATTATCCTTCCCCCCAACGTTTTATTTTGAAATATTTCAAACCTTTGGAGAAGCTGAACAATCAGTACACAGTTGGGCCGGCCCCATGGCTTAGCGGTTAAGTGCGCGTGCTCTGCTACTGGTGGCCTGGGTTCGGATCCCGGGCACACACCGACGCACTGCTTCTCCGGCCATGCTGAGGCCGCGTCCCACATACAGCAACTAGAAGGATGTGCAACTATGACACAACTATCTACTGGGGCTTTGGGGGGAAAAAAAAAGGAGGAGGATTGGCAATAGATGTTAGCTCAGAGCCGGTCTTCCTCAGCAAAAAGAGGAGGATTAGCATGGATGTTAGCTCAGGGCTGATCTTCCTCACACACACACAAAAAAATTCAGTACGCAGTCTTGTATGTTCCTCTGTGCCTAAGGAGTATGCCCTCCACACTTGGGGCTCTGGCCATGCTCCTGAGTGGCTGTGGCTGGGGGGATTCCTGCACGTCCCCTATAAATGCAGGCCTTGCCCCCTGTAGCTGTAATTTGGGCCCAAGAGGGACCCCTCCCCCTAAGCGCGGCTCTGAGTGGGGAGCAAGGAGGGTCTGCAGTGATCCCTCCTCCGGCTTCACACTAATCTGCTGACACTTGACTTGGTGTGTGTTCCTGTAACAAATTTCATTTGAAATTAGATGGGACACCAGCACTGCTGCACTTGGGACGCCTGCTTTAGCCGCCTGAGCCACACTGTGGTAAGCCCGGTGACAGACATCACATGCCAGTGGTGGCTTGGCCTCGTTCCCAGGGACAGCCACAGAGGGGAGGTGGGCTGTCCCAGCACCGTGGAGTGAGCAGTGTGTCAGGTTGTGCCTGTTCTTTCGTCAAAATGCTGGTCTGATAACAGAGCATTTGAAGGAAGCAACAAACGTCTGCTGTGCTTAGATTACATTCTGCACCAGAAATGTCCTCTTTGACTTGTGGTGTTATTCACTCATTTTAAGTATTCTCACTTACTTTTGAGTGTGTTCAGAGCACTGTTGGTGGAAATTGGGTGAGAGGGCGGAGCCCCTGGCAGTGATGGAAATGGCCGTGGGCGAGCTGGTCCCAGGTGTTTTGATGGGGCAGTTCTCAACACGATCTGCTCTTCTCCGGAAGGGCAGCAAAGTGGTCCTGTTTCTCTGTCTGCTTCTCCGAGTCCCCTCTCTGCTCAGAGAACTGGAGTTTGCTGTGGACCAGTGGCACGTAGCTTCAGGCCACAGAACACGCAGGCTGTGGCCAGCAGGAAGCAAGTGTCCCGTCACAGCGATGCTGGGACAGCACTGTCCGTGTGCCCAGCCTCCCTGTGCCTGTGTGGAATTTGCACATGCAGTACGCGTGCGTGGGCCAGCCAGGGGGAGGAGCCAGTCGTGTCCAAGATGCCTGGAGGGATGGTCCTGTCTGCTGGTGTGTCTCACCGGGGGATCTTCCATTTGCCTGGCTTTGTTCTGTGTGTCAGTGGTGCTGTGAACTCTGACGTGAGAGGGTCCTTGATGTGTCTCCATCGTCTCACCACATGGCCTCGGGTGGTTTCTGAGGCTGAGGCCCATTAACCTCCCCATTTTAGAGCCCCACGTTGAGAGTTGACTCCTTCTCGAGAGTGAAAATCCGGTTCAGGGAGCTTTACGTCCTGAGTTTAGGGCGGGGCCATCCCTGGCTGGCAGCTGTAGTGAGGTGTATGGGGCCGGGTCCTTCGGGACGTTGCCCCATTGTGATATCCTCAACGGTCTGTCCAGGAGCAGCTCTGGCCTGAGAGGGGATGGAAGAGGGAGAAGGAACTGGATTTGGGTCAAACTCTGGGTTGAAGCAGGGTTGAATCTCCGTGCAGCTTGGTGACCTTTGACAAAGCACCCGTTTTCTCTAACCCTCTGTCAGATCTTCTCCCACCTGAGTTGTGTGGGCACATCAGGCCATATTATTGAGCATGTGTCGCTTCTGAAATGACCTCCAGGTTGGTGGCCTCCAGATTGTTGGAGGTGGAGGGCCTGGCTGGGGAGTGAGGGTAGCCCTGTGCCCTTCCCCTGCCCCGTGCCAGCAGCTGCCCTTGGACACACACACACACCCCCCCCCACACACACACACACCACCCACACACACGTCTCTGTCGGCCTCTGTCATCCTGATGATGGAGCCAGAGTGCCACGTGCTCAGCCCTGAGGGTCTCAGGGTCCTGTTTCGGTGTGTGTATGTGCTCCGGTCCAGCTGAAGCTCCACAGAGAATGTAGGCCGGTCTGTTGGCGTGTGTTGGCCAGCCCTGGCTGACTCAGGGTTCCAGGTGACAGCACACCAGACTTGGAGGGTTGCAGAGCCCGCCATGGCCCGTCTCACACCTTTGCACTTCTCTTTGGGGCTTCTTCCCTCTAACCTCCAGGTAGGGTTATGGACTTGCGGGTCCCTCGAGTGTGACCACACCCGGGGGGCAGGGCCGTGGGGCTGCCTGGTTGCCAGTCGTGGCATGAGGGAGCAGCCCCTTTCTCAGAGTTGAGACTGGGGGAGATTGGACAGGGGGTGCATGTCCCGCTCTCCCTGGCAGCGTGAGGCTTGGAGGGGTGTCACTGGAGTCCCTGCGTGGCCTTCTGGAGCTTGCGTGGAGGGGCAGGGCGGGCACCGGCCTCCCTTTCCTAACACTGCGTTTCTTCTTTCCTCCTGCTGCCACCTCGTAGGGCTCGTCCGTTCTCACACTCCCTTAGGTAAGCCTGATGCTGGACATACCTGTGGAAGACTTTTTTCTGGTTCAGGGCAGGGTGGACTCCGGCTGGCCTGGGGGAGGCTATGATGGATGAAGGTGGCGAGAGAGAGGTGACAGAACACCCGAGGCGGCCCCTGCCCAGCACAGCAAGGCCGGCCAGGCACTGCAGTGTGTTAGAGCGTGCACGGTCGCTTCTCAAGCTGTGGTCGTTTGGGTTGTCGCTGGCGGCACGATCGACACAGGGACTCCTCCCTGACCTCCCCAGCAATGGCTGTGTCAACATCTGGGTGCAGTCGCTGCCCGCTCCAGCCCAGCCTCACAGAGCTTATCCATCTCAGCCCACACCCGAGTTTATTCCCACAAAGAGATGTGTTCACGTGGGGGGCGTGCCAGACCCTCTAGCTGTTGTGTTCTCTGCATCGTCCTTCAAAACATGGCTCCTGTTTCCTCTTCCTCCTGAGGAGCAGTCCTGTCCCTTCCAGCTGAGTTTGCCTCATTCATTACTGAGAGCTCTTTCTGCACCGGGGCAGTGTGGGGACCCAGTTAGACATCCTGCCAAGTGGTCCTTTACCTCCTGCTAATTAAACTGTGCTCCTCCAGGCCAGCACCAGCACTCCAATGTCACACACTCTTCTAGCTTGAAGGTCTGGAACCCAGATCCAGAACAATCTGTGATTTTAGATATTTTTACTCACTTGACCTGGTTGTTTCTTTTTTGCCAAAAAGTCATTTAACTTGCTGTGAAGTCAAGTAAGGACATGTGACATCTATTTGTACCAAAAGTTTTTTAAAGCCCCAGGCCTCGGTCTTCTTAGTTCCCCTATTTTAATGCCATCCCTCAGCAATGTCTCGCTTCTGGCACGAGTTTGGAGCCAGGAGAGAGGAGCCTTGGGTTGAGTTTTTCTCTTGGTGAGACAGGCTTTATGAGGCTCCTTTTGTGTGGTGGCCAGAGTGTTCCAGCTGTGCTGGGAGTGGAGGTCCCACCGCCCACCCTGCACAGTCGAGTTTCTGCATGAACCGAGCTGGTAAGCACGGTGAGTGCAGTCTTGTCCTCGTGTTAACTCTTGCTTCCTTCTCTGCTTCTACCATGCTTCCGAGCAGCAGCTACTCCATCCGCCACTCGATAAGCATGCCAGCCATGAGGTAACGTACGCTTGTGCTTGAAGCTCCCAGAGCCAGGGTGGGAGCTGGGTGGGAGCGGGCAGCTCCTACTGGTCAGCCTTGTACTTCCCATATCCCTGAACCAAGGACCACCTTCCCGTGACAGCCTCCTGTCGGCTAAGGGTTGGGAAAGACCCCTTCTAGGCTGAAGAGCTAGTGGGGATGAGGCTCAGAGGAGACCCTTGTGCCAAATCGGCCTCCATCCAGAACTTTCCAGGCCTGCCCATGGGGTCAGGCCAGAGAGGGGCACAGAGTCTTGCACACACACCTGGCACCCGGGAGGATTCAGGTGTCGCCAAGTCTGTTATGGAGACTTATCTGCACCTGGAAGGGAGCCCTGTCTCCTTAGAACACCCAGAGCCATGGCCTGTTCCTCCTGAGAGCCCCCTGCCCGTGTTCTCTCCTGGTCTTTCTTGCAGCCCTGGCTCTCAGTGAGTTACCATCCTTGTTACTGGAGAATCTGCTGCAGCTGCTGCACCCCAGAGCATGCTGAGAGTCCTTGACAGGCTGCCCCTAGAGGCTTGGGGGCAGGGTGTGAGCCACTGAGGGGAGAGCTGGGTGGGACTGGGGCTGGCCTGCTCTCTCTTCCTCTGCCTCCTTATCACTCTCTTGTCCTGGAATTGTCCTTGGTTTTCCTTTTGCTTGACTTCTGTGAGAGATTTGTATGAAGAACACATGGAACTGTTCATAACCCCAGTATGTGTACATTTAGGGTGCAGCAGAGATGTGCACCACGTCCCGCCTGCTGCCCAGGCGAGGGGTCTGCAGTTGGCTCAGGTGAAATCTGGGTCTCACTAGCTGGTGGCATGCAGGTTTTCTGTCCTTGTGGCTGGCAGGTGTGGGTGAGCTCAGTTCTGACCTGGGGAAGCCTCCACAGTGACCTTAGCTGGGCTCTCTGCAGGGGGTGTGCCCCCCTCCCCTTTTTTTGGCTTGTCACGTTTTTGCAGTGAGTTCTCAGGACGCTGTCAGGGATCTTTCCAGAGGATGACCCTAACCTTGAGGCCCTTCAATTTAGGAGGGCAGCACAACCATTTGCTCCTTATCCTGACATCTGCTCCCTCTCTCTTTAAAGGAACTCTGCAACCTTCAAGTCATTTGAAGACCGAGTTGGGACCATAAAGGTAACTCTACCTGGACCATCCGATTCTCTTGATATGGTGTGACTTGTCATTTCCATAAACTTATGTAATCGTTGTAGATTCATGTGCAGTTTAGGAATTAATACAGAGGCCCTTGTACCTTTTATACAGTTTCCCCCAATGATAACATCTTGCAGCATCACAACCAGGATATGACATCAATACTTCTAGATAGAGAATAGTTCCGTTCCCACAAAGATCCTTTGTGGGGCACACCTTCCTCCTGCCGTGCCCCCAGCAACCACTAAACTCTTCTCCGTTTCTTTAATTTGGTCATGCTGAAAATGTCACATAAATGGAACCATACAGCGTGTATCCTTTTGGGATTGGCTGTGTTCACTCTGCATAATTCCCTGAGATCGTCCAGCCTATTGCCTGTCAATAATTTGTTCCTTTTTATTGCTAAGCAGTGTTGATGATACGTCAACTCATGTAGAGAATTGAATTCCCAGCATGGGCCTAGGACCTGCCTGGCATTGTGTGCTCTGTCTCAAGTTTGTCTTTCTTGGTCTTTTCCCATCTGTAGTCTAAGGTTGTGGGTGGCCGAGAGAATGGCAGTGACAACCTTCCCTCCCCAACTGGGAGTGGCGACAAGCCCCTGCCTGACCACACGCCTTTCTAAGCCCGTAGCAGCTTTGCCCGGCCACGGAACACGTGCAAGCACACCCTCATCGCCACAACCGCACCTCTGCCAACGGAGCAGCCAGCCAGGCCGTAGGCAAGCGCGCAGAGCCGGTTTTGAAGACAGTCATGCCATCCACATGTAGACGTGGCCGCTGCGTTCACATGAGTTAGAGAACACGGTCTTGCACACAGATGCTTTACACTAAAGTTGATAGATGCAACAGATCACTGTGCCATCCTTCCCAGGGTGTGGGAAGTGGACAGGGCGGCGGGTCCCACGGCATCTTGAGCCAAAGCCCAAGCTCCCTTTGGGAACCGTCTTAGTTCGTCAGAATGTTGAAAGAATGGGAAGAGTGATGAGTACAAAATAAGTGGTATTTCCTAAACTTCTCCTTTCCTAAGTTATAGAAGGAAGAGTCATCCAGAAAGCCCTGCCTAATCTGCAGTTTTTATTTCAAAATACTAAAGAAGAAAACTGTCCATTTTCTGAGACCCTCCAGGAAAGAAACTGATTATCAGCAGCTGCCTAATTGTTACACTAATGATCTAGCTTTAACAAAAGCAAATTCTTTATTTTTTAAATGCAGTGGATCTTTCAAAAATTAAAAACTAAGCAAAGCAGCTTTAGCCTCGTAGTTAGAAAATATACTGTTTCTTCGGACTCAAGCTGAAATACAAGCCTTACATCGCCTTATGCTTAATTGGTTTATAATGTTTTTATAAATGAAAATGAGGTTCTTGAGTGGGTTTTGAGCACTCTGTAGAATTCTGCATCTAGCCCAAGTGGCAGCATGCCTGTCCCAATGGTGTGTTTTATTTTACTGAGACACTCCATCCCAGTGTATGAAACTTGCTTCTCTCTCCTCACGACTGTGGCAGCTCCCGCTGGCCAAAGGGCTCCTGGGCCTCTGGGGGTGGGGATGGGGGACAGGAGAAAGAAAAGCCAGCACCCTCCACAGTGCTCCCGCACTGCCCTTGTGTGCCCTGCTGGCACATTACCACTCAGCGCCTCCAGCCTGCCTGTTTGTTGCATGCCGGGAGCGAGCAAACAGCAGACGGACCCTGCAGGGCAGGTCAGGGCTGGGGCGCTGGGGTCAGCTGGAACTCTGCTGTCACCTTTTCTCAGGAGCTACAAAGATCTCTTTGCCATTTTGAAGCTGCCGTGCCCCAGCAGCCTCTCACCCAGGGCCCCAAGTGTTGGGTGTGTCTGCAGGGGCAGCTCCGTGCCTTACTGGCTCTTAGCGGGCAGAGACCTTGCCTGTGCGTGCGGCTGCACTCCCTATGGGGAGGAGCCGTCAGCTCCAAGTGTCCGCTCTGGGAGACTGTGATATGCTCTCGGGGACCTGAGTGTTTGCTGGTCACTCAGACACCCCGAGGGGACAGCAGGCCACACTTGTGCTGTGGAAGAACACCACTCGGTGTTTCTTCTCCAGGGTTAGAATCTCTCAGACGGGGTGTGATGAGAAGGCAGGGTGCAGGGGTAGTGACTGATTTATCTTTTCCTTAAAGCAAATACTGGGTAATTTGTCAATAAAGCATTCCTTTATTATGGGAAAAATCCACTTCAGCTTGTGTGGTGTGTCTTACTTCATTCAGGAAGGTGATGAAAGAGTAGCAAATAAACCGACGGACAAAATCCCTGTTGTCATGAGCCTACACCCTGGGGAGAGGCAGGCAAGAAATTGATAATCTCAAGCACAAATTCCAAATCTTCAACGCTATGAAGAAAAACAGAGCACGCTGTGAGAGAATATAATGGTGACAGAGCTGTGGGGTCTCTGAGGAAGGGGCATGGAGAATGAGGAGGTGGTGGCCAGGTTATAAGTTGGGTCGAGGCTGAGCTGCAAGAGTTGTGCAAGCCAGCGTTCGCCCCATTGAAGGGGCTGGGCCTGGCATGACAGCTGCTTGCAGTCTTGTGAGCATCTAGCTGCTGTTATAACAGCTGTTGCGGTGCAGGAAGGCCACCTGCGTCCCTCAGTCAGGTGAAGACCTCTCACTGAGTCTCAGGCAGTTGGAGGGAGCTCGCTGGGTGGGAAGTGGGCATCAGAAAGAAGAGGTTCCCGCTGCTCCATCAGCAGTGTGCTTGGCTGTCCCATCCTCACATCCCTGCTCTACAGATGGGACCACGTGAAGATGACGACAGGTAAATGACAAGGTCCGAGGCGAATGTGGCTAAGGTGAGCTAAGAGCACGGGCAAGCGTGGGAGCGGGGCCCTTGGTCAGGCTCCAGACAGTGGTAACTGCACAGAGCAGCTACTACCGGAGGCCTGCCTTGGTGTGCAGGGATGTGGTGGGGGTCCCCAGGCAATTCGAGGACTCCTTTGTTAAATGTTTTAAGTTAATCTGTCTCCAGGGTTCAGAAGTCAAAACTGGATGCAACATAGGCTCAGAAGTGTGCTCAGTCCTGGCCCATCCCCCACCCACCCTCTGTGTTGACTGTTACTGCTTGTTCATCTTCCCAGTGTTTCTTCATGCAGAAGCCAGCAAATAGGAATGTATGTTCTCACTCCCTTCCTTTCCTTACTCAAAAGATAGTGTATAGTGTTCTGTACCCTGCTTTCCTTCCTGCTATTTCTCTGGAGTGCTAGCTGCACCCACCTCAAAGGCCCTTTGAGGGAGAGCCTCCATTCTTTGCTGCCCTGGTGCTTCACTTGTCTCCATTCCTGCTGTCTTGAGTGTTCCCAGTGGGAAGCCCCTTTGCTGGGAGCATGGGACCTCCTTTGGGATCAGAGAGCAGGGTTTGCCCCAGGTGTAACAGTAGGGAAACGTAGTGACTTCAAATTTTGTAAGATATACACCCCTGCGTGATGGTCCAGTACAACAGTGAGCTGGTACAAAGGGCAGAAAGCACCACTGCTGCTTGCAGTTCACATTTACCCTCATTTACGTTTGAAATGGGTTCCACGTGGTCTTCGCTTATTCAGTATTTAAGTGTCCTGTGGGTAAGAGTCTGCTAGGTTTTGTGGGGTACAAGGGTGAATCTGGTGGGGACCCAGCCCTAAAGGAATTTGCACTTCCGTTTGTTAGGGAAGACAAGGTGTTCCCTAAGTAATCGACTTGTAGAGATGAGCTTTGAGAATCTGGAGGACTGGAGCAACAGGTGGGGTGAGTGGAACCGTGGACACTGGAGGGACTGGCGTTGGAGAGTAGCAGCAGCACCTGCTTCTCTGGAGCCTCAGCTCCCTAGTCTTGTCTTGGGGGAGGGTAATGGGGTCCACCTTACCCAATTGAAAGGCATGTAAAGCACAGGGCCTGACTGTCACCACTGGTGACCTTTGACAGGTACCCTTCCTGTCTTATTTTCTCTAAACAGGATTGGCTTGTTTGTTTATAAACATACTTGTCATAATGTACTTTTTATATATCATACATTTTGCTCATTTTACTTTCAGGAACTATCACAAGAATTTTCTATGCTATTATGTAGCTTTTGTATACATCTTTAATAACCTATTCCCTTTGAATGTGCTTATTGTACAGTTGGGCGGGTTTCCATTTTCACTATAAATGACACCATCAAGAGCAGCTTAATGCATACACCTTTTTCTGTGTTTAGGAACATTGTCTTAGGAAGAATATCCCTAAGGGGGAACTACTAGGTCAAGAAGGGACTCAATAAGGCCTGATTTATTCGTTCTTGCAGCTCCCAACACAGGCTGAACACAGCTTCAATCTGAAATTGCCGCCAGGTACATTTTGTTATTTCAGTCCTCCTCTGATTCTAGGCCGAAATCTTTCATCCTCTTGACTCTACAGACATAGTTATTAATCTGGCCTTTCTGCTGTTTGGTTTTCATAGGCCTTTTCTCGCTGCCTGCTTGATGTTACACAATTTAATGATTGCCAGGAGATTTCTTGAGCTCTCGGACACTTATAGGCCCTGAGCCTGGGACAAAGTGGGCAGTTTAAGGCTGGCATGATGGAAGAGAGGTGTAAGAAGACTGCAGAGGTAGACGGGGGCCAGAGCTTGTTGGCAGAGTTTGGATTTTACCCAGTGTCATAGGAAGACTTGGATGTCATCAGGTCTCTGTTTTAAGAAAACAACTCTGCTGAATGGAAAATGGCGAATGGGCAAGAGTGGAAGTGAGGAGGCAGGAGCACTCATCAGAAAGATCTGTTTGGGGGGCTTCTAGAATGAGAACTGGCACATACCAGTGTACCAGACACAGAGCAGGCCCTCAGTAAACGGTAGGATTGTTATGGTTACAGGGAATGATAGAGAAAGATGATGAGCAGGTAGGTCTCCCTTGCCTCAGGCGGTGAATGGGATGAGCAGGGGTCGCACCTGGACATGGAGGGAAGCGAGTGGAAGTGGGTTCTCCTGCCCTTCTACGCCGTTGTTTGAAGGTGATTCTGGGAGGGTGGCTGGATAATGACGGTGGCACTGCGGTGATGGGGCAGGAAGGAAGTCCTATCTCTGTGCTCCTTGGATGAGCAAATGTCAGTCCCAAACAGTGGCTTAGGGGGCGTCGGCCTCCAGGTAATCTCCCGCCATCTCCCTCTCCCATTCTTTGACGAGGACCATTACGTTTCCGCAATGTTATGTAAAGCGATGAAGAAACTCAGCTGCAAGACGAGTCTTCGCACCTCTACTTCCACGCAGCTCGCTGCAGCATCTGCCGGCCCACCTGAGAGCACCTGCGGCACTGGCGGGCAGGGCTCTCCCGGGCGCTCGGCCCCGCCCCTGCCGGGCGGCGGGAGCTTCCGGCTCCGCGCTGCGAGCTCCGCCCACAGCCCCGGAGCCTCTGCCCACTTGCGCAGGCTGTCAGCCCAGGCCCCGCCCTCTAGTGGGCGGAGCCTCACGCTGGGCGCTCCGGCACCTCTACTCACTGCTGTCACTCGGGGATAGGCCGTCGCATGGGCGGAGCCTCCGCCTAGCGCTCTGGGTGCACGCGCGGCCTGCCCCCGCCCGCGGCTCCCACCCTCCGGGCTCACGTCCTACCGGGAGCGCGCGCGCCGGGTGCGTGTGCATGCGTGTGCGTGCGC